AATGATGTCAGAACATGTTGGAAATTGATGACGTCGCTTGGAATGCTGTATACTGAACACAAAAGAAGTCCGAAGTTCAAATAAGTTTAAAAAACATTGAAGTGCCCGTGTAACAGATGAGTTCTCGTCCGAAACCCTGATACTCCGAAAGAGTTTGTCCAGTTTGTACACGAAGTGCATCCAGTTTTTGCCGTGACCCTCTCTACTCTTTCGCACATGCTATGCGGGTGAAATGATGATACCATGCCAAGTTTCAACATTTTCAGAGTTCATTTTGTAGTGATTTCCAATTTCACGTCATTTAGCTCTCTAAACAATTAGGTAAATGACCGAAAAACAACAAATAATGTCAGAACATGTTGGAAATTGATGACGTCGCTTTGAATGCTGCATACTAAACACAAAAGAAGTCCGAAGTTCAAATAAGTTTAAAAAATATTGAAGTGCCCGTGTAACAGATGAGTTCTCATCCGAAACCCTGATACTCCGAAAGAGTTTGTCCAGTTTGTACACGAAGTGCGTCCAGTTTTTGTCGTGACCCTCTCTACTCTTTTGCACATGCTATGCGGGCGAAATGATGATACCATGCCAAGTTTCAACATTTTCAGAGTTCATTTTGTAGTGATTTTCAATTTCACGGTCATTTAGCTCTCTAAACAATTAGGTAAATGACCGAAAAATAACAAATAATGTCAGAACATGTTGGAAATTGATGACGTCGCTTTGAATGCTGCATACTGAACACAAAAGAAGTCCGAAGTTCAAATAAGTTATTAAAAATAAAAAAAGAGGTGCAATGCTGGTTAATTTGCTTCAAGCCTTTCGGAATAGTGTAGACTGCACTGCACATAGCTCAGTGCAATCTATGCTGTTCCGAAAGGCTTGAAGCTAATCAACGTGCAGGTGAGCATTACGCCTCTTCGTCATTATCTCTGCACTCACGACTTATAAACCGCTCATACTGCCTCTCTCTTGGCGAGGTGGGACTAAAAATCAGCTTACTAAGAAACTCTATTAGTGGGGGCCCCAGCCTGACCACAACCGCAGTGGACTCATTAGTACCGGTTCGTGGCATGAACCGGTACTAAAAGTTGCCCACGAACCGGTACTAATGATGCCCGCCCGCCTAGCCGTTGGAACCGGCACTAATGGTCGCATTAGTGCCTGCTCAAATTCAAACCGGCACTAATATGCTTCACATTTGACCCTTTTTCTACTAGTGAGACGGCGAAGACTAGGTAAAAGCTAGAGCTGCCTCAAGTCTCCCTAATATTGCCACCTCCTCGACCAGGAAGATGGAAACTATGTCGCATGACCCGACAGGTGACAACAAATGTGTCTTCGTCATGCTGGTTCGACACAAAGTCTGTTTAAGATATGGCATTATGGCAGTATAACGACAAATCCTACGAATGCACGGTTTCTCTGTACGCAGTGGAGCTACGACAAAATATTTGGATGAGTCGGACTAAAGAGATCACAAGCTTTTGGGCTCTCAGGCTACTCTTTTTTTCTTCAACAACGACTTGTTTGGTTACTTGCATAACACTCCGTCAGGCCCATGGGATGCAATTTTGGGCCGCATAGCACAAAACTCAAAACATGGTAGTCGCATCAGCTATTTTCAGCGAGCCATACTCGAGCAAGCGCAAGAATGGCATGCCCAGGGACAAAGAGGGAGATGGCACGTTGTTTTTCGAAACCGCGCCTTAAATCCCCTCACACCTCTCACACTGCTCACTCTCCCTCTCTCCACTGCCACTTTCTCTCACCGGCTTCATCAACACTTCATAACCCCAATTTAGGGATCGATGCAGATGTCGACTTAAGCATGTATTTATACTTCAAAGATTTAGGGCTTGATCTTCTCCCTCTCGTCGACAATCTTGAGAAGAAGCTATCCACATGGCACAAGTGTGCACTATCTCTGGGTGATCGCCTTGCGCTCACACAACACGTCTTCTGCACCATCCCAGACGCGGAAACCGGGGACACGGCGCGGACGGCGTCCTAGGCGAGCGAGTTGCTTCAATGTTGGCACCAGTGAGAGGTCACGTCTGCTCAGGACCGACATCAATGCGTAGCTGCCGCTCTAGAGCAGCATGAATGCGGACAGTTTCGGGCGGAAAAGGGCATGGATGCGTGCGTGATAGTGGTTTGGGCGCATGCAAAGCCCCCCTCCCCTGGTTTGCGGAAAAAATGATGTCTGAACAGGCCTGTGGACAGATAGAGGGCCACGTTAGATGACAAAACAGTGGGAGATCAAAGAAAATAAGGCCACGTCATCGTATAAACCGATTTACTGTACTGCAGGAGAGAGAGAAAAAAAACCTAGGTCTAAGCAGAGCTCTTTTTTTGGTCGCTCCTCGACCTCGGGGTGGAAATCGTAAAAGCTCTGGGCGAAGAGAAACCCCCTTTCCTCCGCACCGATGTTCTCCGCTGTTCGATCCCGAGCCCTCGGCCGATGGCGCCCGCCGCCGCACCTTCTCCCGCGCCTCCTCTCCTCCGCCGGCGCCTCGTCGGCCCGGCCGGCGGAGCTTATCGAGCTCTCGGAGGTGGAGAAGGTGCTGCACGACGTCCGGGCGGGGGACGTGCGTGTGTTCCCCGTCGGCGAGGGCGGGCTCCACGGCGGCGCTTGTGCGGACTACATGGTCGTCGCCACCGGCCGCTCCGACTGGCACGTCCGCAACATCGCTCAGGCCATACTTTACAAGGCAAGCCCCCCTCCTCTCTGTTGTTGTAAATGTATGATTTGGGCCAATGTTTGCTACTTTGGTGATGTTGTGACTGGAAATCGCGTGGACGCAACATGATTGTTTTGCATTCCATGAATTATCTTGAAGTATTATATAGCTAGCTAACGGATTTTAGCTCTAGGAATCCCTAAGGGTCCAATGATTTGTTTCCATAGAATTAACCAATTTTGCTTTTAGTGTTTTGGTGGACTCGTCTGCAAATGTGACTAATATGGATGTAACTGCAAAGATGGTTTGGTTCCCAGTGTGCACCAGTTTCATGATGGGTGATTCGGATTGGACTGAAGCGGGTAGTTAACCCCTGAGGCAATTGCATGAACCGTGCTGCCACAGTGTAAGGGGACTGTAGAAAATTAATTATCAATGCCCCCCTCCATCACAAACTGGGGGCTATTAAAGAGCTGGCTTAGTTCTGAGGTTCTCTGCCTTCTCAGTTATTTGTATGGTTTTTAGAATTAATGTGGTTTAATGTATTTTAGGATATATTCTCCTGTGCCATGTGGAGTTTACAAGCCTGCTTCAGTGGCCGTGCCATGTGATTTGAAGTTTGTGATCATGCAGACGGGCTATCCTAATATGATACTGAAATTGTCCTTTTTCATCAGATAAAGCAGAAACAGAAGGGTTCTAATCGAATATTGATGCCGAGTGTAGAAGGCCAGCAAGCTGGAAAGTGGGTTGTCATTGATTCTGGTAACATCTAAACTTCATATGTATCCCTGCAATTTTCTTTGTAAAATTTGTTTTAGCAATGGATAGACATAGACAAATGTCACGATGAAATTTAATTTTAGCAATTGAAGGAACCCTAACTGTCAAATCTAAACATACCAAAGGATCCTGTCTAAAGGATCTTATATAAACTTTAAAGAAAAAGGAAACAGAAGGCAGAGGCTTATCTCTAGAGTCTAGACCAGATTTAATCATTATGATTTGTGGCTCCCACGCTACTATCCTTCTTTTGCATGGTTTTGGGCCAGCTCTAGGAAATATTCAGTAACTTCCTTGTACAAGGCTTTATACCGGGCTTCCACCATTGAAGTTTGCTGGAATTAATCTTGAATTAGCGGCACCTATAAAGGCCAAGTACTTTAGCTGGCTAGCTTCCTTGAACTGTTCTGTTTGATAGCTGATCCTTTAGAGTGACGAAGCCCTGTGATGGATATTAGGGTGTCCCTTTCCCGACCAAGAGCGAGTGTTTATCTGTCATCTGCTGTGCTTGTGCGTGTTCACGAGACGAATTTCATGGGAGATTTTGTCTTGGATAAGAGAGCAGCAGCTAATAACACAATTGGCTTCCATCTTAAATGATTGGTGGGCACCCTTCTGGGTCATGTTTCAAGCAGACATGTGAAAAGGCTTAGTAACTATGTGGTCTATCTGGGAACACTGGAATTACTGTGATCAAGGGTGCCTGACCTTCGGACATCGTTTCAAGGTCTAGCAATCAAAATTAAGGGAAGGTGCAGACTGTGGAGATTGGTAGGCTCTAGACAGTCATATTTGCTGCGGGGAATAGCAGCTGGCTTTTTTGTGCTTCTTTCTTTTCTTTTTTTGATGTCGATGTCAGTTGTGTCTTGAGCCTCTTGGCTTCTGTTGTAGAGCTGTTCTCTATGTATGAATGAAAAGATACTCGAGGCTCAGGCACAGATCTGGCCAAAGAAAAAAAGAAAGAAATGGGGTGTCTCTAGTTTCTTTAGTTTGAGGTTTGAAATGGTAGTACCTTATTTCTGATTAAGTTTGTTGAAGTCAGTATCTGATGGTCTGAAGTCTAGTTTCTTGTGTTTTAGAATTTTGTAATCGTGGTGTACCTGTCTTTGAAGTGGCTCCTGTGTTAATCACTTATGTTTTGCACTTGTTCTGAACAATTAACCTTAGGAAGTATCATCATCCACGCGCTTGAAGAAAGAGCAAGAGAGTACTATGATTTGGAAAGTATTTGGACAAAGGCGGTGTCCCCTAACATTTCTGTTCAGGTCAGCCAAACATATTACTTCTCTTTGTTGTTCTTTCCCATGACAGTTGGTATCGGGTGTGTCTAATTAATGATAAATGCAAATGCATCGTTGATATTTATGATTTAATAAATACCGTTTTACTAAAGTTACTATGCAACTGCATGTATGTGGACTTCATAATGAATATTTATTTGGTGCGTTTGTGTCGTGATATTGACGTTTTAATATGAAATATTTGTTGACTTTGTAATCCTCTATGCTCTTGGCAATACTGGCGTTAATGATGCTTTATCTGAAGTGAGTACTTAATTCCAGTATAAGGGAATTGCCGTTATGCTTGGAAAGAATAAGAAATTTATGTCAGAAGAAAACAGATGTGAAGGAACTTACCATGGACTTTAGTGACAACTATTCCAAAAGGTAGCTAGAGAATTGATGCTCTTTCTGAACGTTTTTTTGAAGTAGTTAACTAAGCACTCTTATGTGTATTAGATCTTCGAAAGTTGATTTATCTGTTCAATTCATCCAGTTGAACAGTCTAGAATGTTGAGAATCATAATAAGAGATACTTAAGATAAGCTTTAGGTATTTAAATTAACAGTCAACCTGGAGGGAATTACAATGCTGTGCCATGTGAAATTGTGTGCCTTTTGCTCTGTAAGTGTTCAACTGCTATGAGGCCTTGATCTTCCAATCATTTAGGGAGGTTGGCTCTATCTGGTGATTATATGGCTTATAAATGTGCTACTAGCAGAGTGTTCCATATCCAAGCAGCATCTGGACAGAAATTCTGATCTTCTCTGGGTTTTGGATAGATGATGAATTTAGGATGTTTCAAGATCAAGGGGAAAACATTTTATTAAATGAAATACATAGTGAAAAAAAGGCCCCAGCGTTGCTCCCAACGGGAGAGACGGGTGGCAAAACCCTATCGCTGGACTTTGCGTGAGTGGTGGATGGGGGCAGCAGGTCTTGTCCGCACGGTGACGCCATCCTTGAGCCCTAGCGGGACCAGGTGGCGCTCCTCAGCAGATGGGCGGTGGCGTTGCTGCCTGAGCCGCCTGGATCTTGAGCGTGGGCATGGTCTTCGCTGTGTCCCTGATGTTTGGTCCGGTGGCAGCTTGGTGCTGTGCTGGCCGACGTTCAATGAGATAGTAAGGCACATAAATATTATCTCATTGCTGACCAGGTGAACCATTGGCTTTACTTTTGACCATTAGGTAGGGCTCCCAGCCACGGGTTGGTTAATGTGCATCAGTAACTACAAAATTGAAGATGCTTTAAATAATTATAGGGATCAGGCACACCTTATGTTGGGTGGAAACTTGATCGAATAGTTAGTGGTGAGACTATTCATAACGCATCATTTGCTTGTCAACCTTTGCTGTTAGTGAAACAATCTAATCTTTGCTTTCTAATGTTGGAATACATATGGAAATAAGAAAAAAATTGAATTATACAGATAAATGTGCTGTGCACATTATGCATTTTTTAGAATTCCCCATTGAAGAATCTGTTTGCAGTTGAATGGATCAGAGGCCCGGAATAATTCGTGTTGTTTTAATCGGATAATGAGGGATGAAGACCGATGGTTACCTTTTTTTTTCTCATGCCTGCTCTGAATTTCGAGATGTTCTAAAAATGGTCCTTTTTAAAGGCGCAAGCAGGCGCACATAGTATTTTTGTTTTGGTTGTACTTCAACACAGTTTCTCATCTTACATTGTTTATGCTGCAGGAGTTGGAGACCTCACTTGTGAAGACGCGCCGCAGGGACCTGTCACAAAAACCCATGAAGAGCATTTGAGTTAATGTGCTGCGGTCTGTAGTGGTCAGTTTTCTGACCCTGAAATTTTATTTGGATGTATTGTCCAACGAACCACATGGCCACACCACGGACCTCCACTAAGACGAGATGTATTTACGATTTTGTATGCAGGGTTTGTTCAAGGTTTGTCAGATTGGCAGCGTCAAGCTTGTTTGTGTCAAGAACCTTGGAAGGATAGGCTTGCAAGGTTGCTTGTGAATGAGACCGTCTGGATTCATGCCAGCATGATGTCTCTCTGTCAAGTTTGCTTCAGCTATCTTTTATCATGTCGTCGTTTGCAAGTTCAAGCCAAGATTGTGGACTTTTTTTGCTTCTTTCATTTTGTTATTCACCCCTTCGTTGGATGGTAATCATAATACTATACTATCTTGAAGCCAAGGTAACACGTTGGACAATTTAGGGTGTGTTTGTTTGGGCTGCAACTTCTAAGTTGCAACGGCTCCCTCTGGAAGGAGGAGCTGTAGTTGTTAGGTTGACGATGAGGTGCAGCTGTTTGGTAGTTTTGTTGTAGCAGCTATGGCTGATGCTGAAATGTGCCGTCATACTTGTAGTTGCGATCACATTTAAATACTTAGATATTAAAAAATTGCAGTTTCGATCCAACTTGAAAACTTGCAACTGCAACCCCTACTAAAAACTTATAGTTGCGGCCCCCATTTGATAACTTACAGTTGCGACCTGACTTTAATACTTGCAATTGCGATCCAATTTTAAAAACCAACAGTTGTGATTTGCAATTGCGATCCAATTTTAAAAACCAACAGTTGTGATTTGCCTTCAAAATTCCTCTTTCGGCACAATCGCAGTCATGTTGTGGCCTTGTGGGTCGTGGAGTTGTAATCGGGTTACAACACTTACAATTGCACACGCTAGTTCTATTCACGATGGTTCAGTTTCAAGAGCAGCTAAAGTAGTTATATTCCACGATCTATGATTATAAAAATCTTCTTATAGAAGTCTAGTTCTTTCTTCTTTTAGAAAAGGAAGTCTTGCTCTCCTTTCTTGCCGCTACTTGCGTTGCGAGCCAATCTTCAAATTGTTACGGAGAAGTCGTTTACTGATTAGCTACTTGAACGTGGAAATATTTTGACATATCTGCTCTTAGGTTAGTATGAGAACTCACTCTACTCGTGCTATAGTCGAGGATGTATTTATGCTACTCTAAAGAGGGATCAATTAACGGGGTGCATTTTTCTTAGGGGCAATTCTAGGCAAGACCTTGAATCACAGGGTTTGTTCTTGGCAACCCAGCATTCTTTATCTTGGCGTAGGGTAGAAGCAAATTTAATAAAAACAAAAAAGAATAAAACTAGTTTCTCAGTACAACTTATAAAGAGAAAAGTAGGAGGCCAAAAATATATGCCCTCCGTTTCTAAATATAAGTCTTTTTAGCGATTTCAATATGAACTACACACGGATGTATATAGATCTATTTTAAAGTGTAGATTCATTCATTTTGCTCCGTATGTAGTTCATATAGAATCATTAAAAAGACTTATATTTAGGAACTGAGGGAGTATAATGGCTCCGATCCAAAAATAAATGTCATTTTAGTTCAAATGGGAGTACCAAATTACATTTTAGTACTGTATAACTCCAACAGTTTAATAATAAGAAATAAAAGGCTCTGAAGAAAAGCTGCGCTGCCAAAAGGGCCACTCCATGCCTTCCTGCCCATGGTCAGCGCGCGTACGACCCAGCGTACGACTCAGCATGGTCAGCGCGCGTCAATTTGGATGCGAGCAAATCGGACGGTCCCCGTGTTTGTGATTGAGACATAGCTGTTTCTCAGCCTGAGAAAACAGCAAAACCGTGTATGTACATTTCCAACCAAGTCGCAGGTCAGAAATTTGACCAATTCCCCATCGCCAGTATCTTGTACTTTAGCTCCCAGTAGCTTCGGAGTACGTAGCTCAATTAACTGGACCTCAAATTTTATACTCCACCAAATCATCTTCCTCGTCACTCCTATGCCCGATAAATACGTATGCGTATCTGCACATCTTAGCACCCCACCACACCCATGCAACTGTTGTATACGAGCTGCTAGAGTACAGGCGTACGTGTAGAGAAGACAACACATCACTTGCCGCTCGACGCCATGGCCATCAACTTCTCTAGCTGCCGTGGCGTCGCCTGTCCTTCCGACTCCAACGACGTGGAGATGGCCCTTCCCGCCGCGGCTGCCGACGTTTCTGTCCCGCAGAGCGCCGGGGGGTCGAACGCGTCGGCGGCTAAGCCTGTGAGGGCGGCGGCAGGGCACTCGAGGCTCGGCGTCATACTGCTCGACCTCATCTCCGACCCGCCCAGCCACCTCTGGGTGCTTACACTCCACTTCGCGGGGCTGCCCTACCTCATCAGCATGTACCGGAGAGTCACAATGGTGGCGACGGGCTCCGGCATATGCGTGTTCCTGTCGTTCCTGATGCAGCCGAGCTGGGCGGAGGTGTCTCTGGTGTTTTGGATATTTTAATATACACTATATGGGATTCTTGATGTTAACTTTTTTGTGAATCACATGTATATAGACATGTTTATACATGTTTTTGTGTATTTATTATTCACTTATTTCAGTCCGTATGTAGTGTATATTAAAATATCCAAAACATCTTATAATAGTAAAGAAAAAGAGTAGTATGAAAATGAAACTTCAAAAGGAAAGGACACCGATATTGTGTGACATAATAGACATTCATTCACACATCATGTGTGGCATGAGCAGGAGCAGCCCACACGGGTTGTGTGTGGATGAATAGTAGAATTGTCCACACGTGTGGGCGTAGCTACTTCATGCCGCACGCCCAACAAGTACTACTCATCTTCATCATGCGCGTGTGGTACGAAGCAAAAATGCCCACACGTCCTGACGCAGTTACATTAGGTACCCGCGGGATGACGATTTAGTTGCCATCCGGGATGGCAGATGTAGTTATCCAGGATGGCAAATAAGGTTGTAGAAGTTGGCAACCGCATGCTGTTGGGCGTGTGGGCGACCTCTCAAATGCCCACACACCGGCTTGTCCTACATGGCACGTGAAAACTGTCTCGGTGTGTCAAAATTCGTGCAAACTTAACTGAACGGTGATCCAAACATGTGGACGAGTTGTAATGTTGCCACACGTGCAGGCATTAGTGTTTTCGAAAGGAAAAGAAAATATCCCGTGACCTCATATCAATGTAAAAAAATGTACAAACTAACTAAATACAACAGGTCTGATAGAAAAACTAAACACAATAGGTGTTGTTTTTAGGAAAGTCCAATTAAGTGTTAGTTATTTGAAAAGCATCTAAAGATATTTTTTTAGAAACACGTGTAACTTTATTCATACTCATAACAGTTACAGTTGCACTAATTTTGACCTAAATACAAAAGTAATTCATATGACTAAGAATTACAATGAAATCTCTTAAAAACACCTTCTTTGCGATATTAATCTATATCTATATCTATTCTATACCTACTATTAAAGGGAATAGGTATTCGGTTTGGTTTAGTCCTTTTCGTTTGGATTACACACGTTAAGTGATCTGGGTCAGGTACTTGTATGTTGATGGGCCTTTTATGGGCTTTCATAGAGACCACAAAAAATAATTGTGTCAAAATAAATCAACATTATGGGAATTGAACACAGGACCTATGCGCCTTTCTATTTACTAATCCCAACTCACTCTAAATATACAAAGTGGCAGTCATCATGTTTAGGGCGAGCTAATTAAACGAATGAGCTAATAAAGGAAGGATCGTGAGTATAAATAGAATATTTAATGGATGTGGCTAATTAAAGAAAGGATTATGGGTAAACCGGTGGAATAACTAAAAGAAAGATTGTGGTCTTAATAAATTCTACATGAAGGATTTGAGGTACTACCTCCTTCTTGGTGTATAAGTCATTCACGTAGTTCTAGCTCATCGATTTGAGGATTTAAATATGTGTTATATGTCATGAAAAGTATATCACTAGATTTCTATACGGATGTAGTTTCTATGTGTAAAACCTATGGGCATTATGCTTGCACAAAATATCAATTTTTCCCGTTGCAACGCACGGGCATTCGTGCTAGCCTCTAGATAAAAAAATACTTCGAAAACTTCGGTAAAGAGGCTGCAATTGATTTGGAGCAATGATGTTGTCACTATTTTAGCAGCACGAACAATACCAATAAAGGTTTTTTAAAGCGCCTTGAGTCGTCCATCCAAAAAGATGAAAAACCATATTGATGAATGTACTTGGGTCGGGGATGATCCTTAGAAGTGCAGGCCGTCGAATCACTATATTTTTACCATGATGTCGATGAAAATTTTCATCTCCACAAATGATCAAACCAACAAAAAATCTTGATACAACACCATAGACTCATCAGATCCAAATAATCGGATCTTCGAGGACAGAAATCTCATGGCACCGCCAAAAGAAGGAAAGAAAATTTATTCTCACAAAACTATGATGACCACTAGACGTTGACAAAGAACATCGAGAACGTAGAAAACCTAACTACTCCACATCTAAAGATATGTTTACTGAAGAAGAGAGAAACATGGCGACATTGTAAAAAAAAATCTCCGTTTTAAGTTACATTTCGCAAACACTTGAATACAATTCTACTCTCAGTTTCTGCTATTACATATTGTAGCTGCAGTCCTCGTCAGCAAAACCTAGCCCTGAGCGCACCGTGTCATACACCACCCTCTTGTTCTTCTGCTGGTAGTTCCCTATGATAGGCGTCTGGTCTTCGTATGCAAGGCTCGCCATCGCCAGGCACACCTGAGACCCGTTCTTCTTGGCCATGAACAGCATCCCGGCGGCCTCCACGGTCACGTCGGCCCCGCCCTCGAGCCGCAGCGTGAGCAGCGGCACGTTCACCTCGTCGTGGCCCGTGAGGTTGTAGCACGTGTCGAGGAGCGAGAACCCCGGCGCGGCGGGGTACCCCGCGGCGGTGAACTGGCGCGCGAACTCGGCGCGCACGGCGCGGTACACGGA